GTGAAATCAAGGGGACCTTTATTTGTCGGACTCCAACATCTCAGTTGCTTACCCTCTGGTAAACATACAAACAACTATGGAAAATCACCATTTCTAATGGGTAAATCAACTATAAATGGCCATTTTCAATAGCTATGTTAAATTAGTGGAGGGTACATTCCATTCCGATTCATTGTTTTATAAATTGGAAGTGTAGCCACTGAATCAGTCTGAACAATTTTTCTAGATGGCTGTTGTGACCGGGTCACACCCTCCTGCGGGAACCTTTACAAGCGGCTTTATCTGATGCTAAACACTTGGAAAACAGTCCCAGTGTTCAGCATTAGAATCGGCTCTCAAAACCATCAGAATGGTTTGTGTTTCCGAGAGTATCCGAGAGTTGCAATTCTCCATCCATAGGGAGAATTAATCGATGTGACTTGACTGTGTGTCTCTTTTTTGGACTGGTTGTTAAACCGCGAAGAAGACGAAGCATAAAATTCAAGTTAATCACCACAAATTTGCCTCTGGCAAAGGCTCGGGTTGATGCTTGGCATTTGGTCCGGACTCTCAGATACCACTTGAGGGACCAAAAAAATGCACCCCCAGCGGGAGGTTTATGGTGCTGGGTGAATCCCACAATGTGGTAAACGCAGTGCAACAACAACCATCCCCTTTAACCAACCGTGGGGGTCATGATAGACATCATCCCAAATAGATATATACACCATAAATAGAGGTTTATTACTAGATATATACCATAAATAGAGGTTTATTACTAGATATATACCACAAATAGAGGTTTATTACTAGATATATACCACAAATAGAGGTTTATTACTAGATATATACCATAAATAGAGGTTTATTACAAGATATATACCATAAATAGAGGTTCATTACTAGATATATACCATAAATAGAGGTATACCATGGTATATCCAGTAATAAAAACCTCTATTGGGGATGGTAAAAGTTGTTGGGTGAATCCTACATCCAGGGATGAAATCGAGAATGTCCAGATCCTTCGGATGGCAACCGCAACGAGATGTCGGGTTGCGGACAGCATTTCGCCAGTTTTTGGCTCTGCCAGACCAAGACACATCTATTTTTTTGGGTGATGTTATGAAAGTTTTGAGATTTACGTCATCAACCGTCATTCCGTTAGTGAAAAAATCCACAGCCATCAACTGGCAATTAGATCTTTCAACAGAGCCATCTCATCCAATTTTTATTGGGCCCATACATGTTATCGATGCACATATAACATACATGCATAAATATATACATATACATACATAAATATATACATATACATATATATGTATGTGTATATATATAGATACATATATATAAATGTATATATATGTATATAAATGTATATATATATATATAAATATGTATATATATACATGTATGTATATAAATGTATATATATACATGTATGTATATATAAATATATGTATACGTATATATTTATATATACATTTATATACATACGTTTATATATATATACATAGCTGAGTGACATGTCCAGTGACAGGCCGCACCTGCTCGCGGCTGGGCACCCACGGAGGGCGATGAGGAGCGTGGAAGGGTTGTCAGTATGATGGAGATGGCTATCGGTGGAGATGGCCATACTATGGATAATGTATATATATACACATGTATATACGTATATATAGCATGGGCTCTTCAGCCCATTCCATCCCATAGTTGCCATAGTTCAATAGACACATTCAACGACACATGCAACGTTCGTATCCCCCCCTGAATCGACCAAGGATGTTCGGTGCTGGGATGGGGCTGTGGCCGCTATTTTCACCGCCAAAATCCAGTCATCAGCAACCGACTGAACTTTAGGGAACATGAAAAAAAACTGTAACTTAGGTATGAACAGCAGAAATGGGATTCGTTATAAGCCGCATGTGTCAGCGACTGACAAGCTGGACAACAGACTGTTGCATCCCATGGCTGAGCCTCGAGCAGCTGGCTTTCAGATTAAACGGTGATTGAGTCTACCGCTTGTTGACAAGATGGCACGTGTCATCGACCTTTCTGTAACAGTTAATACGCCACTCACTAGAAATATAGTGTTCACAATTCAGAGGGAGCTCAAAACTTAGGCGTGCCTCTGACAATCTAACCTGGGGTGCCGGACAATTCCTTCTCTTTATAGGTTATTTTCTGTTGAACCATGGAAATCTATCAAACCCCATTTCTTCTGAAAAATATTGAGATTTCGCCACCATGAAGGGGCGATATAACTTTGATGTGGCTTTGTTTGAACATAGGGTGCTGCACATTCCCATGAATTTATCATCCACGGTCCCTTTTTACTTGCAATTTTTACCCTATTGTTGGGACAATCAACTCGTCTGTATAACAGGAATATGGTGGAATACTATCGCTATAATGGAATCTCCATATAACTCTTGATTAATTAAGAGAAAATAACAATGCAGTTATCACCAATCATCATGGATTTATAGCCTAACCCATTGATAGACAGAATATGTATATATATATACACATACACACACATACAGACATACAGACATACAGACATACAGACAGACATACATACATACATAGACACACACACATATACATACATACATACATACACACACATATACATACATACATACACACACATATACATACCTACCTACCTACCTACCTAGATAGATAGATAGATACATACATACATACATACATACATACATACATAGATACATAGATACATAGATACATAGATACATAGATACATAGATACATAGATACATAGATACATAGATACATACATAGATACATAGATACATAGATACATAGATAGATAGATAGATAGATAGATACATACAGACAGATAGACATACATACATACATACATACATACATTACATTACATTACATGCATTACATACATTACATACATTACATACATTACATACATTACATTACATTACCATACATTGCATTACATTGCATTACATTACATTACATGACATTACATTACATTACCATGCATGGATGTATGTATACATACATACATACATACATACATTACATACATTACATACATTACATACATTACATACATTACATACATTACATGCATTACATGCATTACATGCATTACATGCATTACATGCATTACATGCATTACATGCATTACATGCATTACATGCATTACATGCATTACATGCATTACATCCATTACATGCATTACATGCATTACATGCATTACATGCATTACATGCATTACATGCATTACATGCATTACATGCATTACATGCATTACATGCATTACATACATTACATACATTACATACATTACATACATTACATACATTACATACATTACATACATTACATACATTACATTACATTACATTACATTACATTACATGCATTACATGCATTACATGCATTACATGCGTTACATGCGTTACATGCCTTACATGCCTTACATGCATTACATGCATTACATGCATTACATGCATTACATGCATTACATACATTACATGCATTACATACATTACATACATTACATACATTACATACATTACATACATTACATACAGTACATACAGTACATACAGTACAGACACTACATACACTACATACATACATACATTACATTACAGTACAGTACATTACATTTACATTTACATTACATTACATTACATTAATGCATACCTACATGCAATTACATTACATTACATTACGTTACGTTACGTCACGTTATGTTACATTACGTTACGTTACGTTACGTTACCTTACGTACATACATACGTACATACATACGTACATACATACATACATACAGACAGACAGACAGACAGACAGACATACATACATACATACACAATCGTGGAAGACATAGTGGAACAAGAATTTATCATCATTTACCTTATCCTTCGGATTCTGGTCATCAGTTGTGTGGCTTGCTCGAGGACTCCTGGGCGGCTCCAGGCCTGTCCGATGAGGCTTATTTTCCCAAGGGATTCTCCACTATCTGGGGAATCGATTAAGGCGATTAAGGGAACATTATATGTATGTATGTATATATATATATATGTATATGATGTATATACAATATACACACATGGGCACAGGCACATTTTTTGAGGGCTCCTTTTTCGCAAATCCAGTGGTATGAGAAACCCACTTACTTTGGAAGGATTCCAGTGGCGTGATACTAGAGTGCTGCGAAACGATGACCTAATCTTTACAAAACTATTCTGATCATATAGATGATTTTACTTTTCAGTATTTTTTAAATTGCGATATTTTGGGATATTTCGATAACCATATTACCAATGGGATTACAGTTTTTTTTTCCATGGTCATCCAAAACGACGAATAGTTGCCTCCAAAAAGGCTTCAGGATTCCATGATACTTTTGGTTGGGGAGATGAAAAGTAATATTTGGCCAGAAGGCCAGGGCATGGCCGAAGATGCTGCAATCAGCTGCAACGGATGTGACAGAAAGAAAAGGTTTTAGCAGTTTCTATCGTTTTTTGTTTTATTGCGTATCCCGAAGCCACAACTGTAACTTAGGTCTTCAGTTAAGAAAAATGCGGACATATGTGTAACTAGCAACTAGTAACAAGAGACAAATGGGGATATGGCCCGAAAACACGGGCAGTGCCGAGAACATGCGGGGATCAATTGCGTTGCTTTCCATTCTCTTTCACCCAACGGGTCGGTTCAGGGTCGGTTCGCCATTTCCTGCAAGGCACCCTGGTGGACCTGAAACCGTGACCGAATATTGAGCCCATTGCCAGGAGAGAATTGATATTCTGACCTTTATCAACCTTATTTTTCCTGACATCAAGTTATATGTTGTATGAGGTTGTGTTAAACTCCAAGTTCAAGACCTCACAACACTTGAAACTAAAACACCCGCCCTGCAAAACAGTCTTCCCCGGATCTTTGAATATAAAAACTGGGGCAGGAGTATCAACCACTTACCAGCTGGAACAGCCATCGTGCCCCAAAAAGAACGCATCCTGATGGCTACAGGCAGCTCGGAAAACAGCCAAGCGCGTTCCTTGTGCTGCAGGGACTGGGAAGCGTGGCATTCTGGTAGTGTGCTGCTTGTGCACAAACATTTGGCCCCGACGATTGGAATTTTGAATACCAATTCAACCAACTTGGGATCCAAAAGGGATCTATGGGGATTTCTTAAAATGGGGGATCCCCAAGTCACCATAGGTTTCAGTACTAAAATGGTCTAATCTGGCATGATTTGGGGTACTGTACCCCCATTGAAAGGGACACCGAAACTAATCTAAGTGAACGGCCGCCCTCGGCAGGATTTGCAGCCGGATTCCCTTCCAAGTTTGATCCCCCAATTTGTTGATATGGGGGGTTCCCGAAATCGCAAAATGATGAAATATGAGGTATCCCTTTTATAAATGGTATCATATACTGTATCATCTTATATTTATGGGAGGGATACCATTGATATACCGTATTATATGAAACATGATAGAGTTTATAAATGGTACATCAATATTGATATACCATTGATATACCATTGATATACCATTGATATACCATTGATATACCATTGGTATCCCTCCCAAGTGAGTAAACTAGGGCTTTACTAGTCCGAGGTTGATCTGATTTCCAGTCCCTTTCCAGTCCCATTTTGACCGGGAAATCTCGCCCCATGGAGGTGACCCAAGTGGTGTCTGGGATACTTTGGTTCTTTGTTTCGCATCTGGGATACCCTCTGGTAAACGTTTACATAACTATGGAAAATCACTATTTTTAATGGGAAAACTCACTATCAATGACCATTTTCCATAGCTATGTTAAATTACCAGAGGGTAGATATTTAGATAAATCATGATGAATAGATAAGCAATGATTTGAAGAAACTGATCAAATATATGTATATCATTGTATATCCAAATACACACCTGGTGTTACATTTACTACTACCCGGCTAAAAAACAAAAAGTCTCCGAATCCTTCTTGCATCCTATCCATTCGGACCCAGGGCATTTGTAAAACGAAGGTTCCACCATCAGCATGCTGCTGGACATTTTTTCTTCCACACCTTCGGAACCCAGTGCCGAAGGTGCGATGGGCTTGATCTGGATTTCACCATGATTTTTCTCGTGGTTTTAAGGAGCCAAACATGAGGATATCATTGATATCATCTAGAAATTATGGTAGATTTGTATAGATTTGTTATTATTCTGGGTGAAAAACCAGCTTGTTTCTATAGGGATGCTATGGACCAACCCCAGGAATAGCTATGGACCAACCAGCAGGATGATGGCATCGGTGGTAGTGACTGGTAGTGACTGCTGATGCACGGCGAATTCTAAAAGTCCATGCTGAAATGTGCAAATACAGTACACTAACACTGACACATGCACATGTATAGGTCAGTGTGCAGAAGTTTTATTAAAACATCAAGAATACATAAAAATACATTAATGTATCATATGTATCATATGCATAGAATTATACAGAATTGCCACAGTATATTCGATGACGATCCGCCAGATGAGCAGCTGCCACCCTCTCCTGAGCTAGATCAGTTGCGGCAAGCAGTGCTCCGTGCAGAGGCGGAAATTGCCACAACTGGTGGTTACCTCTAGAGGAAAACCACCATTTTTACCACCAAATGTGGGATTTTTCTGTCGATTTTCCCAGCTAAAAATACCCCTCCAGTAAATTGACATAGCTATGGAAATCCCATGGGTTTTCCCTATGAAATGATCTACGGTGGATTTTCCATGATCAACGGTGAGTTTTCCGGTTTTACTAAACCCAAAATGGCTGATGTGTGGTCGCACCGAACAAACTATGGGGATTCATCCAGCGGGATCTAACTAAGCCATGGGGATTTGGGACTTAATCCTCCGCGGCGATTGAATGCACCAGTTGTGTTTTGGGTTAAATCACCAGGGTACCAGGAGGATTTTTTCCTCCAGGAGTCATACTATACCAGGTCTGGAGATCAACGGGGTCTACTACTTATGGTGACCGTGATGGCGAAACACTGTGGGAACAATCACCTGCGCAACTGACTGGCTTTAAGGACAAATACCCAGAAGTCTGTGTTTAGAGTAGGATTGCCATCCCTGCCATATTTCTCGGGACCATTGCATAGAACAAGTGGACCATGATTCCTGAATCCAGTAACAATTTAGCCAGGAACACTTAAAAGAGGGGCTTCTACAAAGGAAGTAACTACTTGAAACCCTGTTGCAAGAGCAGTCTTGTACGTCGCAGAATCAGCCTGGGTCGTATTGGAGACATCTGAAGAACCGGAAAGTCCATGAAACTAGCCTTGAACAAAGTGAGACCAACTTCAATTTGGGGCTGTCCAAAACATCTACCCGCTGGTAATCAAACGTGGCAATAGACAATTCCCCCATTTATAGTTGATTTTCCCATCAACCCTTCCATTTATAGGGGAATTCCCAGCTCGTCATGTTTGACGACACCGCAGCGTTTTTGTTCAAAACCATCCGTGGCGCATCATCGCAGGCAGCCGGAGGCAACAACGAGTTGATTGAGCACGTGAGGGCCAAACTCGAAGAGTGGCTTGCTGGAACTTGGAGGATGATGATGATGATATTTATCGATAATAGTAGTACTACTATGATTATTAGTGTTAATATCCACTATCATATATTACTATCATTATTGATGATGATGATGATGATGATGATGATGATGATGAGCTATACCATATGGCATATATATATATATGGGTCTTATCTGCTGACCAGAATATGGATTTCAGCCGGCTGACGTTTTCAAAGATGTTGGGTTATTTGAAACATGGCTTGTTAGGCAAATTGCCAGGAGGCAAGTCCAAGATCCGGGGCAAGGGTTCGCTTGTGAGTTTGAGATGCCGGATTGCTTGTGACCCTGTGGTTTCAGCAATTAAGCTTTAGGGTCGCGCGTAATCAGTTTTTGGGGTCGCAAATGAAGTAAGATAGAATTTTCACGGACTTTCACCTCGCATATCTTTGCTCGACTCCTCTGTTACCCGGCAGACGCGTCGTAACATAGGAATTGTGGACCGCGCTCGCCTGTACTTTCTGAAACGACAAGCAATGGACGGTTTTTAGAAAAACGGTGCAGCCGGTGCATCTATAGAAATGATCGGATGCCAATGCAGAAAACAGGCAAGGCCGACAGGCCGTCCTGCGAATCAGTGGTGGTCCAGGACGGAGGGAAACCTCGATGAAAGATGATCCATCCCCTGAAGGGCAGGCGAAGCATCTGGTTGGGGTTGCTTGCGACCACACGTGTTGTCCAAATATTACCGGGTTACCGGTGGCCAGGTGGATGAAACTTGGGTGGGTGAAGTTGATATGATATGGAGGATGATCCAGTTCTTATTTGGGACCCGGCGGGAATCATTTTTCGAGGCTGCAAGTGAAACCATGATCTGAATCTAAACCATGTTTTGCGTGGCAGGCGCACCATTTAAGGTGGCTCGGATCACTCGCGACCCTAAGTAATGCGTTTCTAGGATGGCCAGCGAAGCAAAAAAACCCAAGGTAAGCCCCCCCAACCGAAAGTGCTGGCTTGCCAAAACTCAACTAGCTACTAGTTTTCTTAGAGTAATCAGAAATCATATGACTTGGACGTCGGGAATTCAAACCCCTCATTGGAAACCACAAATCTTCTAGCCATTCGTAATACATTTTTTTTTTTCGAGGGTTAAGTTCGTTTCGCAATGCTTTAATCCTGGGGATAAAAAGAAGTATGGATTTGTTACATGAAATCATCAGACAAAATCAAACAAAATATGCACCGCCCAAATGGATCCAAATGGTGGAAGCTTGTTGCCCGGAGAAGCTGGTGCCAACCAACTACCAAAGTTCTTGGGGATGATTCGTCAACCTTGGGATGTGAAGAACATGTAATTCTACCCCCGATTCTTTTGTGGTTTGAAAAAGTGTTGAACCACATCCATACCAACGAAAAAATTACTTTACTTCGTGTGATCCCCACCATGACATTTATACATTTTGTTACTGGCAAATCTTCTGGCATTCTATCTGACATATTTTCTGGCATTCGATCTGGCATTCTATCTGGCATATCTTCTGGCATTCTACCTGGCATATCTTCTGGCAGATGTTCTGGCATATCTTCTGGCAGATGTTCTGGCATATCTTCTGGCAGATGTTCTGGCATATCTTCTGGCATATCTTCTGGCATATGTTCTGGCATATCTTCTGGCATTCCATCTGGCATTCTATCTGGCATATTATCTGGCAAATCTTCTGGCATTCCATCTGGCATTCTATCTAGCATATCTTCTGGCATATTATCTGGCAAATCTGCTGGCATTCTATCTGGCAAACATTCTGGCACTTTATCTGGCATATCTTCTGGCATTCTAGCTGACATTCTATCTGGCATTCTATCTAGCATATCTTCTGGCATATTATCTGGCAAATCTGCTGGCATTCTATCTGGCAAACATTCTGGCACTTTATCTGGCATATCTTCTGGCATTCTAGCTGACAGTCTATCTGGCATTCTATCTGGCATACCTTCTGGCATTCTATCTGGCATATCTTCTAACATTCTATCTGGCATATCTTCTGGCACTCTATTTGGCATATCTTTTGGCGTGGATACTCGCGGTTGAGGTCCGGTAGGGAACACTGGGCGTGGATGGTCGTGGTTGAGGTCCGGCAGGGAACACTGGGCGGGGATACTCGCGGTTGAGGTCCGGCAGGGAACACTGGGCGTGGATGGTCGTGGTTGAGATCCGGCAGGGAAAACTGGGCGGGGATGGTCGTGGTTGAGGTCCGGCAGGGAACGCTGGGCGTGGATGGTCGTGGTTGAGGTCCGGCAGGGAACACTGGGCGTGGATGGTCGTGGTTGAGGTCCGACAGCGAACACTGTGGATCGCGAGTCGCAGTTGAGCAGGAGGACGAGGAGGACAACGAGAGGAGGAGGAGGAGAGGAGGACGAGGCAGGAGGAGGCGGAGGAGGAGGAGGAGAAGGAGGAGGAGAAGGAGGAGAAGGAGGAGGAGGAGGCAACTGACATAAAATCTAACAACCCTCACCTGGCAGGTGGGGAAAAACATAAAAATTCTAGATGCTTCACAAATTTTTGCTCAGGATCCATATCAAGCGGTTTGATCATCTCGAGGTTAGAACGAGAGCTAGCACGAGATGTGAAAGTGCACATCGTGAATGGCATGAGTGGCGAGCTGGCCGCCGTGGCGGGGGCTCCCAGCTACGCAGCTGGGGACCTCACTGGATTTCTGGGGGTGGCTGATCCCAAAAGTTCAGCATGTTCAGCCCTTACAGTATTTCAGGTGAATTTCATGATAATTTCATGATCATTTAGCCCGAATCGATGAAAACATTTTGCCTCTGGTAGTTCCACTACACACCGTAGAACAGAGGATAAACATCCGATTTACCTGTGAACAATGGCAATTTTCCATAGCTATGGTAAATAACCAGAGGCTAACCCCCCCAAGAAAATCTCTGGAACACATGAACATATAAATGTCGCCAGAAGATGCCGATCCCATGTCCGTATCCCATGTTCCTACAAAGTCTCGCAAGTCTTGCAGCATGGTCCTTTTTTGAAGCAACATTGGGTTTAATGCATACAGTAGGTTCCTAGTTCCCAAAGTTTATGTTTCTCATAGTGACTCATAGTGAACGTCCTATGTCCATTTTCAGGTGAGTAAGCTTCAACATCCATATCTCAGCATAGATATCGCTCCCCTAACCCCGAGTGAAAGATTAATGAATCATTTATAACTTGGTCAATATCGAGAATGGATGAGAATGGTTGAACCTTCCAATTGAAATTGTAAACCATCGCACATCGACTACTTGGGTCAAAAAGAAAGCACAAGTGCAATTTCTTGGGCGCGCAAATCCAAGTGGCTTTGTCTCAAGATGGAGTACCCCAAAAATGGATTGAAACAAACGCTTTTCCCCATTGAAATGGCAACTTCTGAAACTAGGACCATCCCCTAGTTTCGGACACATCCAAATATCATGTATGTCATGTAACGTTAGATATTCACTAAGAAAAATTCCACGAATATGGCCACGAATAGTACACATCCCCATGATTCCCCAATTTTTGACATTGAGACACCATCTGAACAGATGGTCACCTCGTTGGTGGTTTGGAACGTGGCTGGATTATGACTTTCCATATATTGGGAATAATGATCCCAATTGACGAACTCATATTTTTCAGAGGGGTTGAAATCACCAACCAGTCACATATCTTGCGGTTATTCACTGTGCCCACAGATCCCTAGTCAGTCCCGGGTGCAGGTGCGAGCTCGGCCAAGTGCTGTCCTCAGTGCGTCGGAGCCAACATGGGAGGGGTATAAAACTATCCACATTTGCTGGGGAAATATTTGGACATGATGGGATACGGGGAACAACACTAAGAATATATATATATAATTATATATATATAATTTAATATATATATATATAATTTAATATATATATATATAATTTAATATATACATATAATTTAATATATATATATATATAATTTAATATATATATATATAGTTTAATATACATATATATATATACATATTATAGTATATTAATAGTCATATAGTATGTGTATATATATAAATAACATATATATATACTATAGAATACATATAGAATATATATATATATAGTATATATATATACAGTATATATATAGTATATATTATATATACATAGTGTATAAATATATACAATATCTATATGTATATACAATATATGTATATACAATATATATATATACAATATATACAATATATATTTACGCAATATATATATATACAATATATATATATACAATATACATATATATATATATACATACAATATATATATACATACAATGTATATATATATACATACAATATATATATATACATACAATATATATATATATACAATATATATATACATATACAATGTATATACTACAATATGTATATTGTATATTTATATATATTGTATGTATATATATATATTGTATGTATATATATATATATCTATATTGTATATATATATATTGTATATATATATATATATTTGATACGAGTTTGTCGGAACACGTGGGAATTACTCCTAATATGTGGCAGGGGTAATAGGGAATATAATGACAATCCCAAGATTTTGGGGCACCCCATGTTCAGACAAATCCGTGTTGCGATTGACATCAGCAGAGTTGTTTGACAGTTGGGGACGGGTCAAACCTTTGCTTTTCCCATGCGACTGGGGGTCCATTTGCCAGCCACTTTGGTGTTTACACTTTACCCCACCTTCGAACCTGTTTCCCCAGTAGAATGAATCACCAAGTAGGTTGGCCAAGCATGTCAGCATGTTACGAAAGATGGGTACGACATGTTATGGCCCACTGCAGTGTTGGCAATGGGTGAACCGCTTGTAAGGATCCATTGCGACCATTTGGCTTTGTCTGAAATTGGGGCACCGCAAAATCCAATGTGTCATACCTATTTCCCCATATCAAGCGGCCATTTCCTGCTTTCAGACACACCCATTTCGTTTCTTTAGCTACCCCCTGGCCTAGGTCCAAACGCATCACACCGCATCACACACCCAGGTGACACCGCCTTCCGACTGAAGGAAGCCATCTTGTGACTTTGGAGAATTTGGTTGTGGATCATTTCGCCACCAATGGAATCTGGATGGAATACCCTCTGGTAAACTAACATAGCTATTGAAAATGGCCCAGTCGAAATAGCGGATTTTCCCATGAAAAATTGTGATTTTCCATAGTTATGTTAACGTTTACCAGAGGGTAGATTGAAATTTTTCGAAATGGTGTCGAAATCCAAGGGACACATTCCGCAAATATCCATGGATTGTTGGGGATTGAACCATTTTTTCCCGCCACAACCATGGCTTGGAACAGGCTTTCAAGTTTGAGACGACCTTACATTTTCCCCTTCGGTTTCATTTCTTCCCGTTACAATCATAGCGATAAGTTGGGGCATCCCAGTATGCCTCCAATTTTTCGGACAAACCGAAATCATCATCATCGAAGGAAGTTTAGAAGTCAAACTTCCGACAATATGGACAGATGGAAAAGCAGAGGTGGGAAGAGTCAGAGAAGAGAAGAGCAGAAGAGAGAAGATCAGAGAAGAGAAAGAGTCAGAAGAAAGAAGATGCAGGTGCGCGAAAAGGTAGGAAAGTCGCGAAACGCTGTGTTATTCCGATGATTTGTGGCTCCGGAGGGTCGAAAAGTAGGCTCGCTAAAGCGGCGGGTGCGGAGCCATCTGGCCAGATGAGAGATGAAAAATTGGACACCGTTGTGGCGCGAAGCACATTTGGAAGTCAAAATGTACAAAACACACCATTCTCGGAGCACTTTTGGAAGTTGAGATGTCGAAAAAGTGCACGCCGTTGTGGCTCGAAGCACATTTCGAAGTCAATGTTGTTAAAAACTGACGGTCTCGGACCACTTTTGGAATTTGAGATGTTGGAAAAGCGCATGCCGTTGTTGCGCGAAGCACATCTCCAAGTCAAAATGAACAAAGCACACCAGGTTCGGACAACTTTTTGAAGTTAACATGTCGAAAAAGTGCACACCGTTGTGGCGCGAAGCACATTTCCAAGTCAAAATGTTCAAAACGCCACATGTTCGCGCAACTTTTGGAGGTTCGGATGTTGAAAAAGTGCACGCCGTTGTGGCGCGAAGCAAATTTCCAAGTCAAAATGTACAAAACACACCATGTACGGACCACTTTTGGACGTTCCGATGTCGTTTCGTGTGGCAGGCGCAACGGATGGTGCACCTTGTCAAAAGTGAGCAAAACGTGAGGGTTTTGTAGCAGTGCCAACTACAACCACCACCACACCACACGAAACTACATTCCACTCCACTCCACCCCACTACATTACACTACACTACAACTACGACTACAGCTACAAATGCAACTACACTACATTGCACTAATTACACTACACTACACTACACTACACAACACAGCACAACACAACGCTACTTTACACTACACTAGACTACACTACACTACCCTACATTACATTACACTACACTCATTACACCAGCACAAACGCAACTGCAACTGCACTACGCTAATTACTCTACACCACAACTACAACTCCACTACACCACAACTATACAACTACAGCTGCACTACACCACGCTACATCCAGCAGTTGTGGGTGAGGTGACGGCCCGGTGACCACTGCAACCATTGTAACCACACCAAAAAACACAACTCCAACCACCTTTCAGTCCGTCAGTGGATTCGCTCTGCCATCCTTGAATCACAACAGCCAACCTCTCCTATAGGTTTCCAATTTTTGAAACTTCCGTCACCGCCTTGTGCGGCACTACTGGTAAGGGACAATTGTTGTTATCCCATCCACTAACATCCCACAACATCACAGCACAATGATCTACAATCTACATCAATATACAATGCTCCGTGCCATCTCCACCGCATCCAATTCTGTCACAATGCTTGGTTTCACACCTCCAGTAAAACCCAAAAAGATCGAACAAGCACACCATTGCAAAATATTACAGGATTCACCGATTCACCCTTCTATCTTCTATTTTTTTTGATTTGTTTTACCATGCTATAAGCCCATAAAAATGGGTTGATTTCCCCCATGAACCGATCCCTTCACCCAGGTCTGAAGGTGTAGTGAACTCCGAAGAGGACGACTTGTGCCGCAACGGGGAGTTCCCGGGTTCCCCCGGAAACGACGTATCTGACCGGAGGATAATCCACGACCTGAGTTTCTTGATGATACGATTTTTATACATGGTTTTGCTTGATATAAATATAAATAGAATTATAAATATAGATATACATAGATATGTACATATAAATATAGATAATATAGATAATATAGATTATATAGATTATATATATACAGACGTGGGGAGCTTGAAAATGTTTCAGGATTGAAACTCAATAGCCATCAAATCATGGAGAAGATGAGAAAAACCAGCAGATTTAGGGAACGGACAACCCATTCTTGGTACAACCCCCGAAGAACACGACAGACCAAGGGTCATCGATGATCGATAGATTTGACATGATTTGACCATCCGAAATGGCACCAAAACGATCCAAAACGTGCTACTTTGAGACTGACGGAAATCATACAGATTTACGCGGAACCAGTATCAGAAAAAAAAATCAATGTGCTGGGATCCACACCACAGGTGTTGCTCATTTTTCGGCCATTTGGGCACATCAAAATGGGTACCCTTGTGTAGTCGAACATGGCAATGGTCAATCCATGAAAATCAAATCCATGAAAATCAAGGATGTGTAGATGACTTTCCCAGCTATAAACCTCCATTTAGTTCGAGGATTTACCATATCTTCAATCATTTTCCCATGATTTGCACCATTTTCCCATCAAAACTTCAATTTAGTTCGAGGATTTCCCCCATCTATAAACCTCCAATTTCTTGGGGATTTCCCCTTGCCTTCCCAAACTTCGCTGGTGCCATGGCACCGCGGGGTCCGGGGATGTCCGGGGCTGTCCGAAGCTCAGGTGCTCGATCAACTTCTTGCGATGCAATCAGTTGATGGATGAGTCGATGACGCTTTCTGAGGCAGTTGCTGGAAGTTTGTTGGGTTTACCCGGCCTGGTAATAGCTGACAGTTTGCGACATTGAAACCATGGCCCATAGAAATAGTTGATTTACCCTGCTATAAAATGGGTGGATTTTCCAGTTCGTTATGTAAACGTTTACCAGAGGGTATGTCATGGAACATCTGATTTTTCAATGCATGATTTATATGTTTTTAATGGTGATTTCATGGGGACTGTAATGGATTCTGATGGTGGCTCGATGGGTGTAATCCCCAAATAGCTCAATGTTAGTGAATTATCATTATTCTACTGGGATTTTTCTGGGTCAACCTTGGTTAGATGCTCCTTCGAACTTGAATCCCAACTTGCTATCAATGCAAAAATGACAAAAAATCCAGCTGATTTTTTTTGCCAGGTATCTAAGATTCACCATGTAACAATGTAATCTGAATAAAATTTGGTGAAGTGTCAGTATTTTACAGCCTACCTGGAGGATTCTCCCATTAATAAGCGGCTAAACCATTTCCACGTTTACACAGCCACAAAAAGATAGAAACATGTTTCCAGGTTTCCCACTCTTCTATCCATGACTTGGGGTTGCGACATATATCCTGAATGGTAATCAAACATGGCAATTGAACATCAAATAATTTAGTAGTTGAATGTAAATGGGAACATACTCTATAGGTATCTATGAATTGGGGATTTCCATTGCCATTCTTGAGTACCAGAGGCTTCCCATGGTGATTTTAATCCCATAAATTGGCATATATGGCATATACCTATGATTCCTATGTTATAATCCCTCTCTCTTTCTGGCCCTGGCAGTGGAACAACATCGAAGATACTCGCCCATGATGCCATGGGCATGATAAATCACCAGAAATCATGGGGAAGAACTGTCGTTTTTTTTTTTTTTTTCAATCAACATCAATGATCATGGTATCTTACTCAACCTTCACGATATATTATATCTATTTCTTTGAACTTTGTTTTTTTGTACTTTTGTTTGACCATTCTTTTTTTTGGTGACCTCCCAGTCATCAAAGCAGGCAGGAATTCGGGATGGCGACCCCGTGCAGCTGGTGAGGTCACCACTGTGCTTTGGATGTCGTTGGCTGACCGTTTTCGTCACTCAAAATGCTGGCTTTTCACCAAAGCAAAACCAAAGATCGTGGGATTCACATACCATTTATGAAGTTTTTTTCTGTTTTAAATGGTGGTTTTTGCAGAGCTTTTAAGCGTTTTCCATGATGCTGCCTGTAAAGTTGTTTGTGTCCAACATGAATCACAACAGAACATGTGCCTGACGAATGGTGCTGGGGCATGTGAGTCGTCGATGATTTTTGTAGCTTGGAAAAGCCTTGGAGGATCATTCCAGACAGCAAGTGGTGAGTGTAAACCTGGGGTTGGTCTAGAGTCTAGCCACTTATAAATGGGATAATCATAGATATATAACCATTTATGATTATCTATGATTATCCCATTTACTATAGATTATAATATTACCATGGGATAATCTTAGATATTATAATCTACTAAATGGGGACTAGGTAACCATGGTTACTTTCACCACGGATCCCACGATCCGTGGAAGATGATCCTCCGTCCCTTAGTACTTCGGTGGCTGAGGCGATGTTTGACCGCTTCCTTAGATGGAACTGTGAGACTCTGGAATCTCCATTCCAAGGAGGGGTGCTGTCCTGTTGGAACTGGGAGGGAACTGTTGGGCCTCTGGATGCTGGCGATGCTGTGCCAAATTGTTGTTGTGAAAATGGTTGGAACTATGAACATCCGCATATTGGTTGCAACAAAAACAAGAACTTCAATTTTTTTTGTGCCAAAACAAGAATGCGGATTTCTGAATGATATGAACATTCAGAACAGCTTGTTGTATTGGAAATCATAGGCCCAATTTCAACATCCCAACCAACCCATATTCTATGAAACCATTCTTAGCTTCATTGGCCTGAAAGTAGAACTGGGATTTGTGTCCAATTAATACACAAATTGAACATAGGTTTTTATCTGAAAATAGGCTAGCCCTAAATCCATTGGTTGATGGTCATTAATTGTCCCTATTTCAATTTTTATCTGACTGGGGATATACCATGACAAACACCTCATATTTTCAGGTCCAAAGTCCACGAATACAGCCCAGTGACGGGAGTCGTTGCGACAGGCCCAGGAGGATATTAATCCTTTCATCGGCTTTCGAGAGGAAGAGGCTGGGCAATCCCGTCAAAAGATGGTTGCGTTGTCCATGAGGGGATCATTAATGCATAGGAATTATCCATGGGAAACTATGGTAAACTATGGTAAACTAATCATAATATATCATAATAAATCATCTGGTTGGTGGTGAGGGCCAGTTTTGGTGCGTGCAGCGGCTCAAATGTCCGCATCCATTGGGGTATCTGTACGGAGCCACAAATGGGGGTGTCTGGAAATGGGATATACCCCAACAATGGTACTTTTAATAGGGAAAATGATGATTAACCAATGCTGGTTGGTGGTTTCAAACATGACTTTTATTTTCCATTTCATATGGGATGTCATCCTTCCCATTGACGAACTCCATCATTTTTCAAGATGGTTAAAACCACCACCAACCAGTCATAATCCAAAGGAATTATCCATGGGATGTCCGTGGAAATTATCTGAGTCGAAGACCCCCATTTCCAAAGCATAGACACACATGATTTCATGATCACTGTTTTCACTACATATTATTATCATGACATATTAATATAATTACATATCATATCATTATTACTATTAGTATGATTATTAGTATTATAATTAACACATTTGGCATCGAATCCGTTGCTGGATCAGTCAGATCCCGATTGGAATCGTGGTCGATGCAAAAAACAGTTTTGTTGCTTGAATTCATATCTGCGTTTTTCCCCCCTTTTTTCCCATCTTTATTGGGCTAGGGGACCCCCGAATCCAATGAACTATCATGAAGATTTTTTGGCAATTTAGACTTTAGGTGTATCCCCAATTTTCAGATAATCCAGAAGGTTCATTGAACCTCATAAAATCCCTAGAATTAAACCCCAAACCGTATGAACCCCCGAAAAAATCCCTAGAATTGGGTTATACCCACCATCAACGGTTAGCACATCCGTTGCTTCATCAGGCCTCTGACAGTCATGGGCCGGTGCTTTCCGCATCTTTGGCGTCGGGGCTCACGGTTGTCACCGAGATATGGGGCTACCGCAGTTTTTTTTAAAGCCAAGTCCTCTGCAAACAATAAATTGCAACAATTGATGTATTGATGTGATTATATAACATAAGATAATATATATATATAATATTATAATATAATATAATATAATTGTATTTTGTTTGTCTTAGTTTGTGCCAGGTCATGGCGACGGAATCAATTTCAGCATCTTGATGGATCCAGGACCTGTGATGACGTTTCATGTAAAACATGTTGGGATTGCTCGCCCAGTTCAAAAAGGTATAAATAGGCATAGTAGGTAAACAAGCCACACATGGGTTTATTATAGAGCATTATAAAGGTCATAGGCATAAGTTGTTTTGTTTTTTTCTCTTGCTTATATCACCATCATTTGTGGCTTGAATTTCACCATTAGTCCCAATGCCAATGAGATCTTCTTTGAACACGGTAGACCCATTTGGATGTGCCTCCACTTGCCACAGGTTTAAGCTGTACGCCTGGTTATGTCTAGACGTCTTCTGGGACATTCCCAGTTATACATGCGATGTTCCAAGCTATAATTCAGGCATGATCTACTTGCAATTCGCTCCAAACCTAGGCCTGACGGCCGGTCGTTGCTGACGGTAGCAGCCGGTGGTGAGGGCCAGATTTGGTGCGTGCAGCGGCTCAAATGTCCGCATCCATTGGGGTATCTTTACGGAGCCACAAATGGGGGTGTCTGGAAATGGGATATACCCCAACAATGGTACTTTAAATAGAGAAAACGATGATTAACCAATGCTGGTTGGTGGTTTGGAACATTTTTTATTTTTCCATATAATGGGAATAATGATCCCAATTGACTTTCATATTTTTCAGAGGGGTTGTTTTACCACCAACCAGAATGGATTGTGGGGTATTCCCCGACCCAAATGGCTGGTCATTTTCAGGGAGGTTGAGGATTATGACTCTATGCAACTGACATTTTCGGAGTGCGAGGGGTGTTGGAGGCTGCGTGCCTGGGGTGTTTCACGCATGTTGCCTGGACTGGATGGTTCCCTTTATGGGTGTTGTGAAACTTACTTCGTGGATTGTACCCGGCCTGGTAATCTAACATAACGAACTGGACAATCACCATTTATTTCGTGGATTTTCCCATGAATAGCATGGTGATTGGACCCAGTTCGTGGATTGTAAACGTTTACCAGGCCGGGTATCCAGAAATATGGCTGGTTGGAATGTTGCAAAATTCTGTGGATTCAGCCAGGATTCAGCCATCCACATCGATGTTTTTTTATCCCCCATCCACGACCAATGGCACCATGGCACCGATGAAAAATGATGATGGGATCAGTGGATCAACGATGAACATTACTCCGAGACTCCGATAATGAATGAGAATTCATGACAAATCAATGATGGTTGTATAAGCATGTTACTAAATAACTTAAACACATTCTGATTTGATTATACAATGTTGATAGATGATACTAAACTATAGTACTACTGATTACCAATGATAGTTGCAAAACTATACCAAACTATAATATATATTCAGTGTATGATTCATGTATCAATCAGACATTACTACTTTACTATTCCTTGATATTCCTAAACTATATCACTACTGATTAGTAAACCGTTTGTAAACTATAGTAACTATAGTTGATACTACCATTAATCATATACTTTTTAAATTACTAGCATTAATTGATTGATTGATTACCTAGTAAACTATCATTGATACAATTGATTTATACCCTATAATAGATCTAAATAGATCTAAATAGCTATGCTATAATCTATAATATATATATATCTATATAATATATATATATATCTATATTATATATATATCTATATCATAAAAAAAAAATATATATCTATATATCAATCAGGTTTATGGTTTTTACGTGGCCGAGGCGGAGACTGGCCGAGCTGTTGCAGAGCTGGAAGGGGCAGCCGTAGCTCGGCTGCAGGGTTGCTGGATGGCTTTCTGGGATCATTCCCGAAGATTCCCTGCGTTTAGCAGTTTAGCACCAGTAAGAAAAGTGTGATTCATGATGTTGTTGTTTTTTTTTTGTGAAGTTGGTAGAATCAGAGTCTAAGATCGTGATAAGTTATTTGCTTTTCTAGCTTGACAGTAATGAATTCCTTGCTTTTCTATCTTGTTGGGGATTACATATCTACCTAGCACAGGTAATTCTAGTTGGTAGTAGTTGGACCACCGCTCTCAATTTGCCGTGGTAAAATATGTAGCTTTCACAATTTGTTGGTTTCTGATGGGGTGGGATGGGGGGGGCTAATAACGGTCTTCTCTTGAATCCCCACAGACCCCTCATCTTCTGCTCTCAGATAATGTTGCGCATTTCTCTCTTCAGTTTCTACACCTACGTTATGCTCACTAACGTTCTCTAGAACTTGCTTCTATGTTGTAACGTCTTCTGGAAGTTGCTGCTACGTTGTAACATCTTCTTGAAGTGTAACGTCCTCTCGAAGTTGCGAAAAAACCTGGGAAATTTGAATATATTTGAATGCCGTCGCTTTCTTGCGCCACTCGATCAAAATTTGGTGATGATGCAACTAGTTCACTTGCAATTTTGCGGACATCGACCACAGATGAAGATTTTTGAACCCCATGGACTTGCGTCGATTTGACTGCAACGTCGACTCGACGAATGTCACTGACTGACTAATGGGGCGAAATATTTTCGCCGTGAAGCTAGTTGGTACCCTCTGGTAAACTAACATAACTATGGAAAATCACCATTTATAGTGGATTTTCCCATTAAAAATAGTGATTTTCCATAGTTGTTTGTATGTTTACCAGAGGCTAGTTGGTACTACTTGGTGTATGTTAGAAGGATAGCGATGTGCCGTGTGCCGCACGGGAAATCCAGCGAGGTTTGGCGGAAAGAGGACGTTTGACGTTGACGTTGCGTTTTTTCAAACGGATCAATGGATTGGTTTAAGGGAAAATCTACAGGAAAGCCCCATATAAAAAATGGGAAAATCGATGGTTTCCGGTTCCAATTTTCCCTTAAACCAATCCAATCATAGGATCAAACCAAACTAGTTTCCAACTTTGTTCACATCTAGGAATATTTCTTGGAGATGTTGCGACATAAAACGCCCCAACGTTGGAATGTTGAAAACAAAATCCAGATGTAGTTCGTATATGGCGGAATAATATGAATGCGGTATATGTTTATTGGCTGTGCCGTGTTCTTACGGCTGCGGTAGTGGGTAGGTAGGTTGATTGGGGTGAACAGGCTATAGTTGAGTGTCAAAGTCTTCAACCCCCAATGCGCGGGATGTTTACTGGCCAAGAAAACCAGCAGTTGTGATTCACAGCATTCACAGGATGCCTCCGATCTTCGGCAAAGTAAATCGATAAAGGTGCTGAGCACTAGAAATGTGACCGAGAGCGCGAACAGGATCTAACCATAGGTAGTCCCATGGCTTCAGATTTTCTGCTCGGCGGAACGTGAACCATCCTGGCGTGATGGGAATCTTGATTCTTCCATCTTGGAACCATTGAACCAGAACCAGTATGAACAAAAGGTATCAAAAGGTTCGCTACCTCAAATGATACAAGTTGAAGTACCATGAAGTACCTCAAATGATCTTGCTTCCACCATTAAAAAAATACTGAACATGACACGACCTTAAAATTGGCTTATTATTTTGGTAAGAAAAAACAGCAGGATCCGGCCTGGAACTAAGCAATGCATCGAAAAAACGCAGTGAAAGAAGGTGACATCGTCTTCGTTTTTGTGAAAGTAGCAGCATGCTTTCATCAGCTGATGGTTTGCGATTTTGCAGTGATGGTTTGGGTGGAAATCCCACCATCCGTTTGTCCAAACGTATGGCAAACAATCAGACAGAAACTCATAGGAAGTGAAATCACCTGGGAAACCCCAATGATCCTCGGCAGTACATTTTTTGGCCTGATACCTCACTAGGTGAACATCCCCCGGTATGCAGATATATCCATTCATATGCCCATCGAATGGTTGCTTGAATCCCCCCAAAAATATGTATATATATATATACTGTAACTGCTAGTTACATATGCATGTATATATATATACATATTCGAATGGTATCCCATATGTATCCCGTTTGCGGATGGTTTGTTACGACATCGCCAAAAAAATCGAAAAAAAAACCAGGCGACGGGACACTTCTGCCCGGAGGGTCACCGCGTTGGAGCACCCAGAGTAATCCACCGTGAAAATCTGGAAATCCACCATGAAAAATGGATGGTTTACCCTCTGGTAAACATACAAACAACTATGGAAAATCACCATTTTTAATGGGTAAATCCACTATTTCGGCCATTTTCAATAGCTATGTTAGTTTACCAGAGGGTAATGGGAAATATAGAAATGCATATATTTTTGTTGGGAAGGCACTTTCGAAAAACTGGCAGATGGTTTAATGTGGTTTGCCTTATCCTTAGTTTATCCACCAAACACAGTCGAACTTTTGTCAAGATGTGGAGCTTCGCTGATCTTTACCAACCAACTTGTGAGGGTTTCAATCAACAAACATGGACTTAAATACGTGATCAAACGGAGGTTTATCGAACAAAGAATACCTGAGTCACATGAGATGGTTTTTCCATGTTTTTCCAACCATAGAGTATCAAAGCTGGGTATAGCTGGTTGATAGCCAACCTTTGGAAGACAGGAGGTCAGCCCATGGAGACCTCTCGAACGATCCTGCCGATTTCCCGATTGAACTGGGGATTCAAAAACCTACCCGGCCTAGTAAACATACAAAAAGCCATTGAAAATGGTCATAGAAATAGTTGATTGCCCAGCTATAACATCGTGGATCTTTCCATAGCTATGTGAATGTTTACCAGAGGGTAGCACTGGGATATCTGCGATGTTCAAGCAATTTTGAGGACCGGACCTGGGTACAGGAAAGTGTCAGGTGGCCATCAAAATCCCACAAATGATTTCACTAGAGAACCTTTTCGGGTGATTCTGTTGGATGCCAAGAAGATGAATGTCCTATTGGACAGGGCAATTTGGCAATCTTTGGGGTTCCATGTGGAAAAGCTGGAGGGTGTAATCCACCCCATAATGCAAACATCGGGAGGATGTCTATTTTTCATGGCAGCATTCAGTATAAAAATCCCATGTTCATCCATTTTCCCCGTGGTTAGAACGGTTAGAAGCCTACTTAAAACCAGCCCAGTTGGGTCAGGTGGTGGGCTCGTCAAGCGACGAAGCTGCGCGGATCTGGTGCGCTAGCACTGGAAAGTGCCTGCATACCTTGCAGGGACATACAGGCGGGAGATTTTCAGGTTTATAGACTGGTTGGGGGTGTCTGGAAATGGGATATACCCCAACAATGGTACTTTAAATAGAGAAAACGATGATTAACCAATGCTGGTTGGTGGTTTGGAACATGAATTTTATGACTTTCCATATATTGGGAATGTCATCATCCCAACTGACGAGCATATTTTTCAGAGGGGTTGTTTTACCACCAACCAGTAGATGTTTATAGCATTTGTACTCATTCAAAAAGCTGGGAATATATGGGGAAATCATCTATAAATGGAGATACCAGGAACATGGGGGATAACGGCGGGTACCAGTAAACTAAGAGTTTGCTATGGAAAATGGATGAGCATGATCCGGCCAGTGAGAAATTACTTAGCTATACAAAATGTGGTAATTTTCCATAACTATTTTTAGTTTTCCCGGGCGTGCATAAATTTTGGCAACCCCAGCTAAGATAGAAGTTTGATGAATTCCTAGTCCTACTAAAATGGTGGTAAATTACTTTTCGATCTTTTAGGGCTTACTACAACTTCAATGGGGCTATTAAACCAATAAAATACCACAATATTGAATGTCTGAAATGGAACGTTAAGTGGAATATCATTAACTAGCATTTTGTGGAGATTTGATTAAACCAAGCATTTTAGATGTCTTTGGATAATATATATATATATGTAATGTACATATAATGGGAGAATGCATATCTACATACACATATGATCCAACTATGGGTGAGCGGGTGAGGGGCTTTCAACAAATGAACATGACACATTGGGACTGAAACATGGTCAAATGGGGTGAAGGGGATTACTTGTCCGTTTGTTTTTGCCCACCACAGGAGGATAACACCACAGATGGTCATGGACGTGCTATGTGGCACTTTAGGGAAGCTGGAAAAGACGGTTCTAGCATGCTTTGCAAGATTATTGAGGATATTTTGGGGGCATTTGCGATGCAGGAGTCATATTTCAACCCATCAGTCTATCCATGGCATTTCCAAGTTTTTTCACAGATGGGTTGCATCACCATCTCCAAGTTCCATGCGGATCATCCATTGCCACCGCTGAATCTTTGAGCGCAAAGACGTGTACTTTCTCCGCGCGTGCGGCTGAGATGAGGAGTTCCATACCCGGATGGTGGGTCTGTTTTTAAAATGGGAATACATTGAGGGACCCACAATTTGTTGGTCGGTTTTTAACATGTAGGCTCTGGTAAACTAACGTAGCTATAGAAAATCACCATTATTAATGGGTAAATCCACTGTAACTGACCATTTTCAATAGCTACGTTAAATTACCAGAGGGTAAGCATTCTAAAATGGGGGTCAACCATTTTGAACCAGACCTATTCAGACCTATCCCGGAGATTCCATGGGGACTTCAGCCACAAAGCCTTTGGTACACAGTTGTCTGGGATTTCTGTCCAGAAATGGGGCTTTTTTTTAGCATCAATTCGCCCAAAAACATTGTTGTGGGGTCAAAACTTAGAACCTTAAAAACATCCTTAGAACTTGAAACTTAGAACCTTGTTGAGGTCTTCTTATGTCTTCTTGATGGTTACTAAGCCCAACCACATCCTTTGTTGGGGTTTCCTCGGCCGGGAGCCGGCGCCCGAAGACAGGGATCAAAGCCGCAAGAGCCCGGTGCAATGTGCGGTGGATGTTGAACTCCAGATGAGTCACTAGGTCTTCCCGCCAAACATGGTGAAAACGATTCCACATCTATCTGTACACCATTATATATATATATATATGTATGTATATATATATATGTATATGTATATGTATATGTATATATATATATACCATTATATATATAATGATATATCCTCATTTACCCTTCCTTTGTCTGCCATTGCATCCAAGTTCCATCTTGATGAAGTGAATTCGCCCAGGTTTTCTCTTGGCATTGCTGGCGACCCCTCTGCTGGCCGACGCTACGGTGTTGGTCACAGGCTACGTGTGGGTCATTGGGTACTCCTAACATTGGATGGTGGATACGAGAAAAGACCAACATGTGCTTTTTTTTTGCCTTCACTTTTGATCCACATCCATTGGAAATGATGATCATTCCATTTTCAGAGGATTTGCAACATGATAAATCCTCATGTATGAAATGATAGTACACTTCTATACGTCATGATTGTTAGGCCCCCCACAAAGCAATTTTTCAGAAACCGCTGGGAGCCCAATCCACCATGGGTTCCCATTGGAAACGACGCGTATCCGATACGATCACCAGGGCGGCCCACACTGCCCCTGTTGAAGTGGTAAAAACGGTCCCCAGACTCCGCGGTTGGAAGATCATGGAAGATCTATTCATTATGAAATATTTTGGGAATAGGATTGACTGTACATCCATTTGATTGCTGATTTTACACAGTGCTCATTAAATCCCTCTTTATTGTTGGTTGAACCCCAATGTTGGTTGAACTTGTATGTTTTCGGGAGGTGAAACCAGAAACTTGTAATCCTTTCGCGCTACTATCTTTCGCATCCCAGAACGCCTGGTTTCGTGTTGGATCTCATCATTCTCGTTCCCCAGGGGAATTTCAATGAATCAACATGCCGGTTGATGGTCAAAATGATGCACTTTTAGATGACAATTAGATGTTTAAAACTTGTTTTTTTTAAACGATGACCATGGTTTTTATGATGATTAATCATCAAATCCGACAATTGTATACGATTGTCCCATGTTTTTTTTCCCTTCTAAAGATGATCAAAACACTTCAAAAGGCGCCACGGGACGCACGGGCAGCCTGCTCTTCAAGGCGCTGAAGGCCGTCAGATTCATCGTCAGGTTTTTTCGTGTTGAAAACGCTGAATGGATATGGTTAGGATAGATGGGGTTGAGAGAATTATTCATGGAATTCATGTTTTGTTTTCCCCACACTTCCACAATTTGCCGATATTTTCTGATTTGTGACTGCAATTTTGAATCAAGAAGAGAAGGGAGGGTTGTCCAGTGATGTGCTCATCATAATTCATCCAAAGTCCAACACTCGATTATGAACCGATTTTATGCTTTTTGCTTTATCCGGAAAAAATAATGATGCGGCTAAGGTGTTTTAACCATACATGACGTGATTTTATCTGATGCTACCAAAAAAAAATGGGTCAGAAAAAACAACCTCAAGAAACGACATTACGGTCTATGATGGCTAGGAAGAGGAAAACACCCAGCCATTGGTTTGCATGTCTATGGTGAATGATGAGAATTTGCCCAGAATCTGCGCAGGATTCCTGGAGCCTTCAAGACAGAGGATTTTGCCAGAGGGAAATCTGATATTAATTGATATTATATATATTTTTTGTTAAATCTGATATTCGGATATATTTGGGTGTCTGATATCCTTTGGTTATTATATAATATCATATCATGATATCAGTGTCTGTTGGATTACAACCAATATTTGGGTGTTATTAGATATAATATTATAATACTGATATTATAACCATGATGTGTTTTTCCTATGTCTTTCAGTGGTTTTTGGCGTGATATGTCGCCCGGTTGTCGTCCACAGCCTGAGGGATATCAGTCGAGCCCCGTGCGGGCGCTGGTTCGAAACCTCACCGAGGCGCCGCGAAGTTTTTCGAAAAGGTCACTAAAGACAGTATCGTATATGGGGACCCCATGTACGTACTGTATGATTAATTAATGTATATATATATAATATATATATATATATGTATATCATATGTATATATATATATGTATGTATATGTGTATATATATATATATTATATTATATTATATATATTATATTATATATATGTATATCATATGTGTGTATATATATATATATGTATGTATATGTGTATATATATATATTATATTATATATATGTATATCATACGTGTATATATATATGTATGTGTGTATGTATATATATATATGTATGTATGTGTATATATATATATGTATGTATATGTACATATATATATATATATAAATACTACTAGTTCAAACAAGAACGGTGCTTCAAGCAAAAACCCTGAGTGGAGAAGAGAATCATGGCAATTGACAGATGGTTAAAAACCCAACCCGCACAGCTGAATCTATGGTGACCCGGAATTTCTCCGCTGGAATAAGTTGACGAAGGGGTATTGGTCATGGGGGTAGCGGTAGCCTACGAAGGACTTGTGGTTTGCTTTATCTGAGGTTTCCAGGTATAGGAACTTGGACATAACACCAGGTACCCTCTGGTAATTTAACGTAGCTATTGAAAATGGCCATTTATAGTGGATTTTCCCATTAAAAATGGTGATTTTCCATAGCTATGTTAAATTACCAGAGGGTATACCATTTATTTTCCAGGTATATGTGGTATACTCTCCAGGTATTTTCGGTGAAGGAGAGTTCATGAGAGGACTGCACCTCACCAGACTCCCTTTGTGCACTGCAGAAATTCGACCAAGGGTGACCCCCCAACAATAATAGCTGCTTGATGGTTTGGAACATGGCTGGATTATGACTTTCCATTCAGTTGGGAATGGAATAATCATCCCAACTGACGAACTCCATCATTTTTCAGAGGGGTGGCTCAACCACCAACCAGATAGGGTTAATCACTAAGAACCACTAATCGTGGCGTTCGATCCCCAAAGTTCTTCGGTCAGGCACGGGAGCGTTTGGGCTGCAGCAAATGTGCCGGAAGCCCAGGTGTAGCTGTGGCACCTGGAAAATCATGAAAACCCCTTTACAAATGGAGGCTCTGAATGGATAAATCATGGTAAATCTATTTGAATGGGGTATTTTCCGTTACCACCTGTGATTACTCGAGGCTATTAAGATGAAGATGAAGAAGTAAAAGAAGATGAAGATGGATTTCAGTTTGCCATGCTGCAATTTATGATAATTTTTCACACAAAGCCAACGGTTTCTGTGTGCCAACCCTACGAGGCCATGACTTCAGTTGTCAAACTGTTCGATTGTGGTTGCGAGAATTGTCTATTTACTATTACTTGTACAGCCAAACTCAAAGGGTTGATTTTATTGCCAAAACTCATAAAAACCCAAGACTTTGGCAAAATCTTTCTGAACTTTTGCGATTTGCCCTCAGGTCACGTTTTGGGGCTACCCTCAGTTTCTATAGCTTTTTTCAGCCCGTGCTGAGGATGAAAGTGAAGGCATTTTCGTGGGAGATGTCACCAACTCCTCCAGTTTGTCAGCAGCTTTCGATGGGGTGCGACTGGGAATTTCCAGGGAGGAATTGACGGCCAATGATGATGTTATTTATATAACTCCCTATTTTCTGCCGGTCATTGATGCTTCACCAAATGGTTTGTTATATTATATCCCTGTTGTGTTGGTTTTCTGCACCCATTCCCCTGGTTTTCTTCGTTGAACCTCCAATGGAGGTGTCCATGCTGGCCATTGCCGTGGGCGTGTTCTTTGGCCTTGGCGGTGGCCATTTAGGAAACCATTGTTAAAGGTACCATTGTTAGAGAATGAGTTGGGTCACAGCTACAGATATCTGATCAGATATCTACAGATGGTTTTCTGAGAAAGTTTAAGGTTAGATGCCAACAGAAATGGTACCATATACATTCACCAGAAACTCCGTCAGATCTGGGGCCCTTTTCGCTCTTTTCCACTGGAAAAGTGCGGGATCACCAAAACTGGGGCGAGTGAATCCGATGGACCGAACTTCTGCTAGATGATCGATGAAGATCGATGAAACATAGCCTTTGCTAAGCCTCCAATGAGGTTTCCTGACTTTCATGTTGAAGTTATGAGGTTAGAAAGTCGCATCCAACAAAAGGGTGTCTCTCCATCCAATTCCGTCTCGAACGACTGATGCACAGTTCATGCCTAGCGGCTGATGGTTAGCAGGGCCATACTGAGTGGATCTAAGAATCGAAATAAACTGATGGGGATAAGTGTCCGCATGAACAAGCTCTCAATTGGTCTCCTTTGATGGTTAGGGGTTTAACGGGGATTAGTTCCTACAAGTAAAATGTCCAACCATCAACCATCACAGCTGGGTATATCATGGGAGTTTAACGACATAGTTTAACCATGAAGCGTTTCATTGTTGATTGATGTTGATTGAATCATTAACCATTGAATGCCATTGAATTATCAATGATGCTTGATGCTTGTTGATTTGATCATCAACCATGATCAACCACAATCAACCATGAAAATCAATGAAAATCAGCCATAATGGGCCGCCACGATCAACCATTGAATACCATTGATATTTCATGGTTCAACACCAGACTTCGCTGAGCAACTAAGGCATGGCACCGAAGCCGAGGCAGTGGTGAAGGTGTCGACACCGACTGCGAGCCGACAACGCGACAGTCGCGGACTGGGGAAGGGGAATCCTCCCAAGCTTTTTTTTTCTTTCTATATTAAATACAATTCAATGTGTTTTTTTTCGGGGTATTTCAGGTTTGTGAACTCGAATATTTCATAATATTTCCTCGGATGGGCAAATGGAAAATATCGGCTATTCCTCGATGCTGATGGATTTTACCATTAGCATTACTGCAGGGTTAGTGGAGCCACCCAAAAATTGTCTTACTGAAGGAACAGCAGTGCGGCCAGAATCACGCCAAGTGAATTTTACCATAGCTCAAGTTGGTGAAATGCTACGTATATTTTGGCTGAGGTATGCAAAAAGATGGGCGCGGCTACATGGCAAGCGTATCAACGACAGACCAGCACACGAAGTGTAGCCAAGCACATAACATATATGAGTAACCGACAAAATTAGAGGAAAACTAAAGTAGTGGGGAGTGAACATGGGATGTTCAATTTTGTGCGAAAACATTGACAACCAATAGGGGACCACCCACTTACCGATACCCTATTTTTGCACATAGCATGGAAGTACAAACCTTCACAACCGATAGGGGACCACCCACTTTGGCCATGTCCATTGCGGGTAGTAAGTAATTTTGTCCGCTTCATATATATATATATACATATACACATACATACATACATAATGGTCTTCAATCGCTACATGACCAGGAGATAAAAGAGAAATGTCTGGGATGCAAGCAGCCAGCAGCGGGAAACATTGACAATTTACATGGGATGTACCCTCCATTAACACACCCAGGCAATTGAACATATCCAATTGATACCAATTTGTAGATGGTTTTCCAGCTAAGCAGCTAATCCAAGATTGCTTGAAGGGAAATGTAAATGACACCCTGATCAACATGGTGCACAAAAACCATGGTTTCCATGTAAGTTTTTCGTTAATTAAACTCAGGAATTGATACAATTGATTTAGGAGTGTAACTTCCAAAGATTCAAATTGATGGACCATTTCCCTTAAACCGAACGGTTGAATGCGGCTTCTAAAATCAAATATCGAGGGGTTTTAAGGATTTCATGTATAAAATTGTACATATTACATGTATTGTTGTACACACACATATATATATACTTATGTGTATATATATATATATAGATACATACATACATACATATCAACCCATTTACATATTCAGGTTGATAGATGATTTACAGTACACATCGCCAGGCCGTGGAGTGGCAGGGGGTCAAGAACCAAGTGGAGACCTTTCTGAGCACTGGCCTCTTGGCCCAATGGGTTGATGATTATTAGGCTAATTTACTGGATATATATCCAGTATATAGCTATATATACCCTCTGGTGAACTAACATAGCAATGGAAAATCACCATTTTTAATGGGAAAATCCACTATAAATGGCCATTTTCCATTGCTATGTTAGTTCACCAGAGGGTATATATATATATCATCAACCAGCTTATCAATATTTACTGTATTCAATGGATGATTGATTCCATGGCTATGAATCAATTCGGATCAATAGCTATTTACATAGCATCTTTACGGAACATCCATAAGTCCCGGTGATTTTGATGTCAACTTTTTTGGGGTACAAGGTTTGGACCCATCCCCATATATACATTAGTAGTTGTTGCAATTGATGGTGATACCCCAATTATTGGTTCAATTGATAATGAACACTTCTTGGTTGTATGGGGGAAGTCTATGATAGGGGTTGATACCGGTTACCCACCAATGGTGGATTGATGATTCGGGGGATAGAAATAGACTTTGTATATTAGGGATTATCAAACAATCCCGGTCTTCATTGGTAGAGTAGCTACTGATTTCGGAAGATCGCAGTGAAATAAGACCCTTTTTAAAAGGGGGGTTGAAAGAAAAAGTGTCATTTTTTCTCCATGGGAAATCGGAGAAGTGGTAGGTTTTTGAAGCTCAGGGTTTTTTTGTGATCACCTTCCAGATTCCCTCAATTCCTGGTGATGCAGATCGGCCACAACCACAGAAAAGCGGTAGCCGGATACCTCAAGCTGAGGTGTTTCTGGCAAACGTGTAGCCTTGATCTCAACGTCTGAATCTGAGCGAAGCACTGAAAACATCTAGGGTTGGAATGTTGAAGCTGTTTCAGGTTGTATCAGTTACAATTAGGTCAAAACTCTGGCACCCATTTGTTGTGCTAAAAACTCCCAACAGTCATAGATGATGCTGGTCACCGAGGATGGGAACCACTACGCCTCCGACCTCTGGGAACAAGGTTACCAGTGACCAGTGGAACCTGGGAACCTGCGATGGAAAAAAATATGTTGGTTTGGTTCCAGCCTTCGGTGCTCACATTTTGCACCTTAGTAACTTCGAGCACCGAAGGTGTTGGAAGGTTTTGGATGTTCTGGGGGCTCAATAACTTTAAGACCTGTTTGTATTTCCTGTACATCAGCCAAATTTGTCGATTGCCAACATCTACAAAACACATGCCAACATGTACACTTTTATTGTCTGGATACGTACGTCCTACACTGATGTGCACCGAAACTTTTACATCAGCATGCATATTTGGATTTATGTCTATACGCGTCTGTCAACAAAGGCAGAATAGACACATAATGACAATACATATGACAGATCGTGATCGCATGTGTATATATATATATATACATACATAGTATTAGTATAACTTGTAACAGAACGACACGCTTCACACATTGAACACCAGCATAGATAGGTGTATCCCATCACCGGCCGGTCTCACCCGTCTCGGCCGTCGCAGGTGATGTTTTACAAACTCCTGGCCGAGTCATACCTTGCCTCTGCAGGCGTCCCCTTCTCCATCGTGAAGCCGCCACTGTGGCGGCACGATGTGGACCGGTCAAGCCCAAGGTGTCTATCTAAATCCAGGGGTCTGGGTGAAACACTGAATTCAAAGGGGATGCCATGTGTCATGGCATGCCTTTTCTTTTTCCCTCTGTTTCTCTCTCTCTCTCTTTCATATATATAGATATGATATGATATGATATATGATATATGATATATGATATATGATATATGACATATGATATATGATGTATGATATTTGATATATGATATATGATAATGATATATGATATATGATATATGACATATGATATATGATGTATGATATTTGATATATGATATATGATATATGATATATGATGCATGATATTTGATATATGATGTATGATGTATGATATATGATATATGATATGATATGATTTTGTTTGTTATATATATATATGTATACATATATACTGTATATATATATTATATAATCATGTATAGCAACCAGGATCAAATTCATCCAAAGTGGCAAACTATTTGTTCACTGGGAAATTCTCTTCACCTCGAAATCTGATGTGTAACCTGGTGGCTCACAGGAATCGTAAGTGGCTTAGTCCACCCCAGTTAATAAGTTTAATAGCTAGTGCAGTTAGCTGGGGTGATTTTAACGGTTTTAACCACTTATGATTCCTGCGGGAAGCACCTCATGGCCTTTACACAATTGGACATGGCATTTCTCTGGGGAGCTGACTGACATATCCTGAACATGTGTGGGATTCAGTTCGTTGATTCCAAAAACTCATTTAAATAAAGACTTACATGAACCCCATAAATACGTATATATATATATATATACACATATGAATATGCATATCTATCTATCTATCTATCTATCTATCTATCTATATATATATATATACATATACACATATGAATATGCATATATCATATATCTATATATGTATATATGCATATATATATATATATATGTACATACGAATGAAGCAAGGTTTCCTGTAGATTTTCCTTCAACCAAGACATAGCCTGGAATCCTACTCAGGTGCGGATTGTCCAACGATGCCGGCGGCGAACGATTGCTGATGGCCGGGCATGATGTGCCCTGACCGTTTTTTTGTTTATGGTCAAACTGCTTGGGTTTGTCCAAAAACGGATGGCCACAACAGCAATTTTGATAGGGAACATGATGACAAATGATAAGCTATTTGGGGATAGTATGTTTTCAGAGAATTCATCTATAAATTTAAATGGCTGATTTTCGACTACCAGGGTACACTACCTGAAGGTACTGGTTCAGAAAGTATGTGAAAAAGAGGTTGGAATGGGACCATGAGAATGGGGGAATGGATATTCAGGTATACCGGTTACTGTTTCTGTGTGAACACTAGGGCTTCCGCGATAATTATTGACGTATACCGTATGCCCAGATGATCATTGGAGAATAATCACTTGGAATGGGCTGCCCCTTTCAAGTTTCGGATTTTCACAGATGACCCCCTAAAATTGAGCGGACTGAACAGGATTTTACCGTCGGTTTCCTGGTCCAGTGGCCGGATCAGAGTATTGCCTGCATCCGCGCTCTGAGGATAGCGAGAATTGGTTCTCCCAGGGTTTCTACATGATCCCTCGCCCGAGCACCAAGAGCACCAGGGTTTCCAAAACCCCGGAGGTTGTGTGATTGCACCAAGTCGTCCCAAGGCAAGGCTTAAAAGGCCAACTCGCAAAGTAGCTGGGTCCTGTTTTTTTGAGCCTGACCAGGGGGTAGCTATAGCTACCCAATTCCAATGGATTATCATATATTTTATCATCACTTCACCATTCAAAAAGCCATTTTGATCCATTTTTGGGTATCCAGCAAATTTTCAGACACCTCCCATATCTATCAGAATATTGATGATGTATCCCATTGATTCCCATTCTATATCCCATGAAATCCCCACAACAAAAGCCATGACATATCCCCATTAAGTCACCACTAACATCCATTAAATCACCATCAACACACCAAGAAATCACCATTAACATCCATTAACATCCATTAACATCCATTAACATCCATTAAATCACCATCAACACACCAAGAAATCACCATTAACATCCATTAACATGCATTACATCACCACTAACTTCCATACTTATGAAATCTCCATTCCTCTAAGGCGCCGATGTAGCCAATGTCACCACCATGGCACTGCTGCATGCCCCGGCGGATGCCATGCGATTCGACCTTTGTGCCAAGGTCGTCTTCGATTTTTGGATTTGAAGCACCAGAATTTGGGGGAGTTACCCTCTGGTAATTTAACAGTTCGCCATGGACCATGGCCCATAGAAATAGATGATAGAAACCCAGCTAGAAACCCCCATTTGTGGTTGGGATTTTCCATGGCTATGTTAGTCATAACCAGATGATAACTGAGTTAACCAACAATGGAGGTGCCTCCACCAACCATAAGACTGGGGATATCGAGATACTCACAATATCAGTGTGTGGCCAAGTCCTGGATTTGAGCCAAATCCTGGAATAAGTGGAGGCTTCTTTAGCGTCACGTATTATACAGTAATTTTCATGGGAAATCTGACCAGGGATAGATGGGAAAAAAGGTTAGGGACATGAACCATCATCGACCACTTACGAAAATTTTGGATGTGTTGTCTGTCTGTTTGCCCCTAGTGTTGCACGTCAGTTTCTTGGTCATTCTTTGTGTCCCTGCAGTTTTTGGTGCGGTGTACACTTTTTGGGCAATTGCACCACTAGGGTGGAATCAAGTTTTGGGATGTTTTTGTTTGTTCTTTTTCTCAGCCAAACGCAACGTGGACTTTGATATGGACCAAACTGGCAGCCGTTGGACCCCACTGGAATCCACTGGACCCCCTGAAACTGCCGGCAGGGACCGAAGTCCGGATCATCGGACTTCCCTCGATTGCTGCAGGCAGGGGGGGATTCCAACTCTCCGAAAAAGTCGGAAAAGCGGTTTCGATCAACGGTCGATTCTGATTTGGTTTTGGGTACTCCCATGAATTAGAAAACCTCCCTGTTTGGGACTTTTTTGGCAACAGAAATTGGGTTTTGACATCTTCGAACCCAGTTACAAGTCGCCACTAGCTCCTTGGGCTATCATACTAGGAATCGGCATAAGTTTGTAACCATGTTGATCATAAGTCCCGATTCCAAAGATAAACATGAAAGGGATACCTGTTGGCCAGGTATCCCTTTCTTGGCTCGTTCTATCACCACCGAGGTTGCTTAAAATTCAAGTTTGTAGGTCGGGCGTATCTAATCTATGTCTATGGTTCCATCATGTTCCATCCACATTTTCTTTGCAAAAACATCTTTTTGGGCTGTCTTACCCTCTGGTTATGTCAAAATAGCTATTGAAAATGGCCATTTATAGTGGATTTTCCCATTAAAAATGGTGATTTTCCACAGTTATGTTAGTTCACCAGAGGGTATGTTCCTGCGTTGTTTCCTGAATTTCCATTGAAACCAATCTGAATTCTCTTGATTCTCCGAGTGGTGAGGACGCGCTAATGCCGTGGCAGCGTGCTGCGTCTGAAGCGGTCGTCTGAGTTGTTGGCAGATCCCGGTAGAAAGCCTCCGCACTGGACGAGTGAACATGATGTTTTCAAGGCGTTAAAAACACCCCCAAATAGTGCTAGCAAGAGTACCAACGCTTACAACCATTATGAACACGTCCATCAGCGATTCTCCGCGCTCCGACAGCGCGCCCCAATCTGAAAAAGTTGCATGGTGCAGGAAGGGGCCGTCTAGATAGGTAAGTTGCTCCTAACCCTAAAAACAACTACGTAGGTATAGATAGGATGTATGGTGGATACATATAATTTTGTTTGTATAGAAATCGACTAGTTTGTTTTTATGTTTTAAAGATTTTTTGACTGCCAACTTACAACTGTGACCCTTCCTTTGGACTATTTCGAAAAGGTTGGTTAAATAGCAACTGGGGATTTCCTTAGCTGCACATGGCCATGTATGGCCAGCAGGTCATGTGCTGAGCTGCAAAATTGGGTACCCAGGATGGAACCTTTTTTGGTTTCATTGGTGGATCGGTGGATCAGATTGATATTGCCAGGATGGATTGCCTAACGAAATTTATTATGGCCAGCCAGTCACCATTTTACATTGAAGTTGTGTACTTCCGTTCATGAAGGTGCCCGAAATTTCGGCCCCTTTTTCAGACTTTCCATCAGTCAATTTTTCATGAAGCCAGCTCTCAAGGTGGTGCTAATCGGAGCAGTGATAGCATTATGGATCGGATTGGATGCCCCAACCACCTTCCCATTGGTTCCCATTGGTTCCCATTGGTTCCCATTGGTTCCCATTGGTTCCCATTGGGTACATGGTGACTCGCTGGCCCAAAAAGGCCAACGGCAGTCATGGGTTCTGAAATCCTTTTGTTTCGGGGTCCTGACATACTAAACATTACTAAACTACTTTGCTGGTGAAGGAAATACTTGTTTTCAGAACTACCTTCAAGTACCAAGAGCAACGTCCAACCATTTTTGATGAAGTGAGCCTCAACTACCAGTATACAACAACCGTTCACACAATGTATTTAGCTCATGTGGTCTCAATGTTCCATCCGTATTTAGTTTGGTTGATGACCCAGATTGACCAACAAGCCGCCAACCAGGTAGTTGTACAGATCTTTCTCAGCATAAATTGTTATTGTTGACTGATGTTGATGCCTTTCACTTTTTTCTCATGAAGCATGGTAAAACCAGACTCTGTCTGGCACAAGAAAACACCCCAACAGACCTTCTGCAAACCGGCAGCGGAAAGCAGTTGACACCATTTTTAGAGCAATTAAGCTTTTGCGAAGAATTCTTTGGGGTGTACAAGCCACGGGTTTCATGCTGGTGCTTTCTCAGCAGGTTTTGTGAACCATCACATCCATGATCTTTCGTACATCTTTGAAAAGCTCCAGACTTGACACACCCGGCGTATACCCTCTGGTAAACATACAAAAAACTACTCTGTATGGAAAATCACCATTTTTGGGAAAATTCCCTATTTCTATGGTCATTTTCAATAGCAAACTGTCAGCTATTACCAGAGGGTAACTATTAACCATCAACCATAGATTATCCATAGATTAACCACAAATTACCAGAGGGTACCCCGCCCAGTAACCCGCCCAGTAACCCAGTATCTCCCCCGGAGATCATCAGGCGAAGTGCGTGCTGCGAAGTTTTCTCCCGACGGCAGCATGGTACTTACAGGCGGCCCACGTTTTTTTTTGCAAAAGAAACGTGGCAATGGAAAGTCCCAATCAGATCCATATTGTGCATAATATGTATAATATATTATATATATGATGTTTAAAGGATATCATATGTATCATAGAGATGATATATATATATGACATATATATATATATAAATGATATACATATATGTATGATATATATATATGATATATACACATATATATATATATATGTAATATGTATTATGTATATGTATTATGTATATATATATATATACACGTATTATATATAAATGTATATTATATATATACATGTATTATGTATATGTATTATATATATATATATAGTAGATGTAATACATACTATATGTATATATGTATACACCCTGGGCGTCAAAGGCCTCCTTTTGAAGGGCCTCGACCCTATATAAATGTAGAGGCCCAAAATCGGGTTTTACCACAGGTCCCCTCCAGGCCTGATTAGCTGCTTCTGTGGAGGCCCAAGGCTCGCGAACATGTGAGCAGTGAACCTATATCATGATGAGATCCCACAAAAGAATTAGGATGATTAACGGAGTAAATCAAACTGATATTGTATTGATGATCTGACCCAACTCAGTGACACACCGATCACTTTCCAATCCTTTTTTTTGGCAGCGCATGATCGACGCTCTAGCTGAAACATGCCTCGAAGAGAGCGATGTTTTGACCAGCGCTGGTGTCGATGGCAGCTTAGGTGCCGCCCCCCTGCCCTGCCAACTGCACAGCAAACTACTGCATCTGACTGGCCAGGAAAAGATGTTTGAATAGTTTTCTCAAAAATGAATTGGTGACTTGAGGCTCAAAGGGGCTGTGGAGTCGCAAGATCCACCTAGGATCTTTTTTTGGGCTTTCTATATACTAGAAGAAGTATCATATATATAGGATAAGATCTATAGAGTTAAAACCACGTCATTGAAGTAATTTGAAATTGGGGAACATGGGACATACGCATAGCTCGTCTTTAGCCATGCCGGGCCAGTGCAGGGATTCAATGGTGAAGATTCTAAAGGAGCCTTGTTGTTTTGTTTCCAATGAAACGATTTTTGAAATTTCTCATTCACATATTAGATTATATTATCCAGTAAAACCCAATAATGACGCTTCTACAGGAGTGGTACCTTGACATTGTCAATGGGGAAGAGAAGTTTATCTCCCGACGTCGTGCTGAACAGAAGGCTGCTGAAGGTCTCTCCCAAGCTGATCCCAAGGCTCTATCCTTAGATTACCGATGGCAAAACCAGATTGTAATAAAAATCATTATATATAATATAATTATTATGTACCCAATTATATATATATATATATTATATATATATATATTATAATTATATATATAAAACATGCAGCTAGGATTATCACGCATGCCTGAACGCATCCAATAAACATCCCACTTCAGGTGCCCAAGTTTAGCTTCGTCAACATCTCCTTCAAAAGGGACAAAAATGGGAAGCAAATCAAAAAGAATCTCAATGTTTCCGAGTCAGAGGCCGGAGACTGGAATTTACCAAACTAGCTAGCATATTAATTCCTCTGATGCGCGCGCACAGGTGCACGATGTGAGGAACTACAAGTTCCTGGCCAGTTTCCTGGCGACCTTTGCGACGGAGCTGCCCTTCAAGCGTGAGTTTGAGGCTCACCCAAGACAAATATTAATAATATAATAATATTATTATATAGCGTATATTTTCATCAACATCAGACCAAGACTTGATAGATCCATCTATATATTTGGATACTCAGGCAGACATATCTTTTAAGTTGCAGGCCGTCTTGCGGGCTCTTTCCTCTGAGCTCAAGTTGAACCCTCGGTTCTCTCAGCCTTTTGAACATGAGGCTGGGCAATGCTAGATGCTCATAATTCAGAATTGTCGAATCCATCATGATTAGCATTTCATTTTATTTGCATAGAAATAATCCACCTCATTGTCGTGTTTGATAGGCATGGGCAATCACGGAAGGGAAGTTGACCCGGGCTCTCATCAGCTATGCAATGAGAAGATTCCAGAGGAATGTTGGATGCAGGCCCTTTGGGTACTACGTGTATCAAAGATGCATAGTCATGTGAATCTGATGGAATTTATTATCTTTGTTTTTTATCTGCAAATGAAAACTCCATCGGCATTCCAGCGCACGCCGGCCAGGAACTCACACACTCACATGCAGACCTTGAAGGCCATCCTGAAAGCAAAGTACGAGGATTGGGTCGTCCTGGATTTGTTGATCGAATGAACAATGCATGCATTTTTATATTTATATTAATACCTTATTATATGACTATATATATTGAAACTGAATTCTAGAAATGAGATCTATATATGAGTCAAATTCGGTGTTTGCAGGAGGCTGGCATGCTGCGGGAAGATGGCAAAAGAAAGTGCAAAGTCAGAGGCCTTAAGCCAGGTTCCGGCAGTGGATCTTCCAAGGACATGATCGATATCGATAACATGTACTCTTTTGACTTTTCAAAAAAATTGATGATCAGTTCATGATTCATCGAACCAAAATTTTGGAACATATATAATATTTATATTCCCCATCGCTTCGCAGGAATCTCTCAGCAGCACCCCTTCTTCGGAAGCTACGGCTCTTGAGGTCGAGGGGCATGAGGATTCGTCGCCATCTCCTGGCGCTGACTTGGAACCCGAGTTTCCTGACCCAAAGTGGCATGATCTGGATTGGCTCGATGTTGTTGGGTATGACAAATTGCAGGGTCATGATGCAATGTTCCGCAACTATGCAGATGAATTTCCCCCGTGGATTTCACCTCCAAAGAACAACACGGTTCGCAAAAGAGATGCTTTGCAATCCCAGGCCAAGTCTTTATCTGGATCTAACCTTGACAATGCTGAGACCCTTCCACAGTTTGTGGAAGAAACGTTGCTCTGATGGAACCACACGTGGAGGAACCTAAAGATGTGGATTCCACGGAGGTATTCAACCCTGAGGAACTCAAGAGCGATGATGAGAAGAATACAAAGACTTGCAACCAGGCTAGGGGGACTAGTGGTGATTAGTTATATGATCATTGACTTCAATCAAGAATATATAATAATATATATATATATACACCGTTTTGTTTGATCGTTGCGGTGGCCATTGTGTAAGCTCCATATTTGCCATGCCAGCCATGCAGGACCAGAATCCATTGGCCCCTCTACTTTCTGAATCAGAGGCTTTGGAAAAGCAAGCCGATCAGGTTGCTGAGTCCATAGCCAAGGGGGAAGATGACAACGGAGATGTTCTCAAGGCTACAAATCATGCATGCATGGATGCCTGCATGCATGCAATACATGCATGCATG